CTCTTTGAGATCCACGAACGCCCGCTCACAATCCGGAGACCACATGAAAGATGATGTTGATGATTTCAGCAACGCTCGCAATGGTGTAGTGCGATCGGAAAGATGATCCACAAAATGACCGAGATACTGCACCTTACCCAAGAAGCACTGCACATCATTCACACACTTTGGAGTAGGGAACTTTAAAACAGCCACAAGTTTGTCAGGATCAACTTGCAAACCCTCACGAGATATACAGTACCTAAGATAAGTTGTGTCCTTGGACCCAAACACGCACTTTGACTGCTTCAGCTTTAAACCAACGTCACGTAGCTGATCCAACACTTTACAAACATCACGAACGTGCTCCTCCCACGTCCCCTCCGAGTGGATCAAGACATCATCAATGAAGTCAGTAGTCACCTCCGGCATATCACAAAGAACCTCGTCCATCATCCGCTGGAAAGTTGCTGGAGCATTGTTCAAACCAAACGGCATCACCAAGAACTCGTACAAACCAAATGGTGTACGAAAAGCAGTCTTAAGAATATCTTCTTCGGCCATCGGTACTTGCCAATACCCAGAAGCAAGATCTAGCTTGGTGAACCAATGACTTCGCCCCAGACGATCCAAGAGATCAACAGTGTGAGGAAGAGGATACACATTTGGGATCGTCACTTCGTTTAACGGACGATAGTCGATGCAGAAACGAATACTCCCATCAGGCTTCGTCACAAGATGAGGTTCATATGCCCAAGGACTCTGCAATTTCCAAATAACACCCTTCTCTAGCATTTCCTTGACGTTCGCTCGTAAAATCTTGATCTCCTTAGGTGACCGATGATGAACAGGAACCTTGATTGGACGAGCATCCCTGGTTGGAATCGGATGACGTGTGGCAATCTTGGCCCCAGACGATAGGTCAAATTCAAAGAGATCAGAATACTCCTTCATGAGCCGGTCAACTACTGCAACACAAAGATCGTCGGAGGGATCAGAAAAGGGAAAAGCAGAACAAGATGGAAACACAGAAGGAAAGAGTGGGGGAACAAAAGTAATGGAAGCAGAGGTAGAAGTAGAGGGACGAAGAGGTATGGAAGTGAGAGGAATGGATGAAACATAAGGAAGTATGAGACAAGGGGGAGAAGCCTCAAAGTCACACTTGGCATGATTGCGTTGCAACCAATCTATACCAAGAATGAGGTCAAAAGCTTGACTCGGCACCACCCACAACGACTACAACTCAAGCTCAAGATCGCCCACACGCACAACCAGGTCCACCTCATCCCGTGCACATGCATGTGTACGGCCGTTGCCATAAAGAATGAAAACTGGTTCCGCCGCACGACGCAAGTGTAGACAACAACGTGTGGCAACAGGTCGAGCAATAGAAGATAAACTTGAACCTGTATCAACCAACACGGAGAGAATAATAGGAGACCTCTTGTTATAAAAACGAGCTTGGAAAGTAAACACTGGATGAACCGGTGCCGAGTGAACCCCTTGATGATACTCCCGAAAGAAAGATGGAGGGGTCACTGATTTATTCGCGCAAGGTCCCTCCGTTACTCGCGTGACTCCTCGTTTCCCGGAGGCATCTCGGTGTTCAGACCTTCCACTGCAACAGCACCCACGGGACGTTGCTGACGCCAAGGTCTCCACCCAAGAAATGGAGGTCGCCAATCCGGAAAACGACGGCAATGCCGATAAGTATGACCAACTTCATCACACGCCCAGCAGCGAACATCACAGCCACGACCACGTCCTCACGCTTGTCCTTGGACTCGAGCAGCAGCAACATCAACCTCTATTGGAACAGGACCATCACCCATAGGAAGTGGAGCGGAAGGACGTGCAGTGAGAAGTGGAAAAGGCGACGTCTCATAACGTTGTGCCAAGTGAAGAGCATCGTCAAGGGTGGCAGGAGCAAGTGCATGCACAAGTCCGACAAGATCTTGACGAAGTGCTGGCCACAACATTCCTAGCTTGATCCACTCCGACATATTTGGCTCCGCACGAAGCAAAAGACTTCGGAAACAAACACCAAATTGCATCACCGACTCAGATGGCCCTTGGCGAAGATGATGTAATTGTTGGAAAGCATCATCACAATCATTGGCATGTCCGAAGGTGCGTTTGAAGACGTCCAGGAGAACACTCCAATCCCCACGAGTGGCTGCGCTCAAACCATTGTACCACTACAACGCCGTCCCTTGGAGACACGTGGGAAACTCACGCAAACATCGAGCATCATCCCAAGAATGATATGTGGCAATCACCGTGAAGTGATCGAACCAATGGTACACATCATCCCCAGGATTCCCGCAAAAGAACTCCGGCCAAACGTGAGGATTGGCACCAAGAACAAGAGGAGTTGTACCACGTGCTGTGAACGCCACCATCAATTAAGTTTGGTTGTTCAATTGCAAGCGCATAGCATCAAGCAATTGTACCAACTGCTGCTCTAGAGTCAAAGGAGGAGATTGCTGATCTGCCATGAAGATGAACGAAAAAGAAAGAGCAAAAGAAGAGCTAGAAGGAAATGGTAGATCTAGACAACGCAAAAAGCTAGATTTAAACCAAACCCCTGAAAAAAAAAAACAAAAGAAAGAAAATGAAAAAAGCTAGATCTAGACGATGCAAAAGCTAAATCTAAACCAAAATCCCAAATCCAAACACTTATTAGGGACAATCAAAGGTGCCCCTCACCTCCACCAATGTGAGTGTATAGAATATGGAAAGGGAATACAGAAATGTACATATTAATTAGCCCAAAAACCCTAACTTATATACAGGAGCGAGTGGTTCAGATTAAAACCAATCCGACGGCTACCAAAAGTCCCACTACGCTAATTTTAGTATACGGTACACTTGGCACTCATATATATATATATATACAGTGGTATATAATTGTGAATAAGTTGCATATTTTTCATTATTTTTTTTGAAACTTCCCATATATCTTAAAATAATTAGAGTCACCTACTGCAATCTTTTCAATGTTTACACCCATTGGTGCAAATTCTAATGCACTACTATAATTTTGTATTAAATCTTTAAAATTAATTCTCTTTGGATAAAGCATGGAAAAGGATGTGATTTTGCAATTGCTATTCTCTCATCACAACAAGAATTGAAAACACTTTCCATCATTCAAAAAGGGCCTTAAAATGTATGCATTATTTTTCCATCTTACCAAGAATGTTGCTCACATTTACCATTTTCATTCTCTGACATTAAACCTATGTTGTTTTTTTGTTTTGTTTTTTTTTTTTTTTTGTCTCCTGCCCTACTAGGAATCATATGACAGGAATTGCCAATAGTAGACAGACTATCACGGATTTCACATATTCTACAGTTATTTTTTTTCTCACATTAGTTTTCAAACAAATCCCTGCAGAGGTATATATTCTTCTTTATTACATGTAGCATCTTCTACAATCACATCACCTTCTAAAATGGCATCCATATTTTTTTACTTTCTCTTGCGACCCATTCCCAGTAGGGTATTCCAAATTTATATTTCTATTGTTCATAAGCAAGTGCAAGTTCTCTAGATTTCAGTAAAGCAGAATAGCATAGATTGGTGATAGATCTGTTTTAGATCATAGATGTTTCTTATTGGTAAGAGGTTTTTTCTTTGTATTCAAGCAAACGTAACAATAGCACAATAGAATAGAGATTCCTTGAATTTGCTCTTCTTGCACGTTTCTTGATGCAAAATCCACAATTCTAGTGTTCTTAAGACATTTTTTTTCATATAACCGTACAAAACTCTTTACAAGAATAAACAAACACTAAACTGTACATATCTAGTTACATGATTGGTTTACCTTCCCGGAGTGATGGCCACCAGGATTACACATTTTCTAATTGCACCATAACCACAGCATAGTTCTCGAACCTGGCAGTCTCGCCCAGACATTTTACATGATATTGCCCATACTGGACATAAGCCGAAAGCAAGCAATTCATGCACACGTCCCAATCGAGCATCATCGTTTCCACAAGATTATGAGAACTTTATTTTATACAAGAAAGAACTTTCTATGGAGTCCATGAATTTGAAAAGGGAGACGTTGCTGGCTGATGATAGCATGAATCCATTCAAGCTCACCAAGTCTTGGTGCTTGATGTGGCCGAGAACTGCAAGTTCCATCTCAAACTCGTGTATGTTTTGCGAGTGGTGATTTTAAAGCCATTTGGTCGCTGCTTTCTTGTGGTAATTCATGTGGGAGCAATGATCAACCACCAACTTGAGCATCATCTTTCTCACTGGTCCTCTAAAGCTTCAACAAGCTGTTAAGAACTGTGGATTACAGTGAAGGCTCATTACATGCGTGTTATGGTATATTGCAATCCCAACATTGTGGAATTAATCAATGGAAGAGCCAACTATATCATTGACTACATTATGAAATTTTTAGTGCCTATCACTCTAAAGTCTTGATGCTGATGCTTGTGGTTTAGGCTGCATGTCCCTCCCTTTGGAATTCTATATCCTCTAAAATATCAACACTTTATGGGATCATAGTTACTAAGGATTCTCCCACCAGTCCTATCTCACCATCTATAATAATTTTGTCCACCTTGCCACACCAGTCAAACCACATTTCGATGTTTCCACCCTTTCCAATACAGATTTGAGTGGGGATGTTTGTTCCTGGTGATGCCACTGGACTTATAGCAGGTGAAGAGCAGGAATCTGCCCACTATGAAGCACGAGACCGATGGATGCAAAGAATGCAAAGTGGATCAGTGTTTGAGCGTTGACTTTCTCCCAGGTTCTGCTCTGCCGTTGATCCCACTGCTTGCATCTGCTCGTAAGGAGAAACTTATGAGAAGAATTTACCACAAGAAAAAACAGAAAGACCTCTCCAACACCAAGCCCGAAACTGAGTAGCAATGTCAAATCGAGTTTTATCACCACTGAGTTGCTGCTGCTTCCTTGGAAGAATCACACTAGGCAATTGCCATCAAACCTCTCTAGTATTAAAGAATTCACAACTTGGAGAGATGATTCAATACTCATTCTCATCCAAACCGCGAGGTTTTGCCGGAGGAGCTCCATGATCCGGCTGATTTCCTTCCCCCGATGCAACTTTGGCCTGTGCCTCGTCAATAGCCTGAGAAAACAATCCAAGAGGCTTAGCACAAGAAACAACGTAAGCGGGCATACCTTCTGTGCCACAAAACAAGCCCAATCCAGAGAGTTGAGATGCTCGAAGCAAAACGCCGACAAGTCCAGTCGGAAGGGGTGAGTCGGAGGAAGCTCCGCAAAAGCATGCTCCCGTCGTATGTTGAGCAAAAAAATTGCAACGAGGACACCATCAAGGCCTTTCTTGCTCTCGTTGACACACACCTCATGTCGACGTCCTCAACCGGCGAGTCGTTGGTCTTGTATCTCAAGATGACGGCCGACTACAATCGCTACCTCGCCGATTTGAAGACCGGCCAACAACGCCAAGAGGCCGAACAAGCCACCCTCATGGCCTTCCAGGTCGCCCAGGTATTTTTTATTTTATGGTTTTCATAGCTCTTTTCTTTTGGTTTTGACAACATCTGGTTTTGAATGTGTCAGCAACCCACTTCTCGCTCTCCCTGCCGCCATGCATTTCAGCAAATACCGCCCGTCTTTCTCCAACCTGGAGAACTCTCTCAGAGATTGTTAAGATACGGGCAGCTTTGATGGCGCTTGTCAACAATGCTCTCAATTCTGGGGCTTGGAACATATCCTTCTTCACCAGCAAGCTCTGCTATGTATTCCCCTTTGCGACCAGCCATCCTATACAGTCCCAAGCGATTCAGGCCATCACTCATGTCACCCCTCTTGACTCTTCTTTAAGAAAAGCCCGTACCACTCTATCATACTCACCGTCCAATGCCAAGCAGAAGGTGGTAACCTCTGAAGCATCTAGCTTCTCCTGTAAAACATCCTAAACACGTTCTGGAAACATTTTAATTTCCTACCCTTAAGGTTGTAAGAATGACTAACATGGATGCCTATCAGAAAAGGCTTAACTCAAAAACTATCCATATAAAGTTTTATTTTTGATAAATCTCACTATCTATCTCTATCATCTATCTATTCAAATCTCAAATGTTTATTATAAAGTAGATTATTTGTACCAGGCACTACCAGGCCCAAAATCTTTTGCACAACATGGCCTCCATGTGCTACATTCTTGGAAGCCTGACACGCTCCAAGCAGGCAAGTGTACTCCAATGCACCTGGAATAAAAGGCATTGAAACAATGAGCTCTTGCGAGGCATCTAGAAATCCACCCCGTCCAAGAAGATCCAACATGCAACAAAAGTGCTGCCTTGTGTACTCCAAGCCATGATCTACACCCATTGACAAGAAGAGCGATCGCCCTCTATAAATCTCTCCTCTGTGGCTGCAAGAGATGATCACTGGAACAAAGCTTGTGGCAGTGGGGGCTTGGACTGTGGCCATGGAGTAAAAGGCCTCCAGAGCTTCGATAAATCGAGCATTCTGCGCATTAGAAGCAAGGAGAGCGTTCCAAGAAATCTCACATTGGAGCTCTGGAATGGAATCAAACATGGCCTTGGCTTTTCCTGGATGCCCGTTCGCGGCAAATGCCGCAAGCATTGCTGTTCTTGAGACAAGATCATGCCGCGGCATTTGGTCGTACACGGACTTTGCTTGCTCGATGTTTCTGGCGCTTGAATACGCGTTTAAGAGAGATGTCCAGGACAGCGTATCACGCATCGGCATTGAATCAAACAGAGTCTTTGCCTTCTCCTTTTGCCCCGCCAAGGCATTCGCGGAAAGAATTGTGTTCCAGCAGACGAGGTTCCTCTCTGGCATGGCATCAAAGACACTTTCGGCTCCATCGAGATCAAAGTTTGTGGCGTAAGAAGAGAGAAGAGCACTCCACGAGACTAGATCGCGGGAAGGAAGCTGATCAAACAAACTTACGACTTGAGATATATGCCCCGAGTGGGCATATGTCGTGAGGATCGTTGTCGCTAAAATCAGATCTAGAACTGGAATCTTCTCTAGCAGATTTTGCGACTTAGTCTTGTCACCCTTAAGAATGTACCCTGAAAATATCGCGCTCCATGTTAGCAAGTTCCACTCCGGCATTTCATGAAACAGCCGCTCAGCGGCGAGTATATACCCAGACTGGGCATGCCCAGTCAGCATTGTTGTCCACGTCACAACGTCCCGCATTGGCACGTCATTGAAGATCTGGCTTGCGTGGCCACAGTCCCCGCTTTTGACGTAGGCTGCCAGCATGGTATTCCATGACACGAGGCTGCGGCGTGGCATAGGATCAAAGAAAGCCCGTGACATGTCAATATGCCCATTCTGGGCATATGCTGCTAGCATGGTGTTCCACGTCACTACACTATGATATGGCATTTGGAGAAAGTAAGACCTCGCTCGCTCAAGGTCGTGGCTTTTTACTAGCTCATGTAACACTTTGTTGGAGAAAACTAGTGTCATTTTTAGTCAAGGACAAACTTACATTTAGTTAACACCTTTTACCATTAATAAGAAGTTGCCACGTGGCAAGTTTGTTTTAGGGTTCTTTCCCCGTCTCCGACCAAGAAAGAGAGAGAAGAGAAAATGTATGGATCAACGTCGGGCAATTTCAAAGGTGGTGGTGGCTACGCGGACATCGAGACGGGATACGAGCCCAGCGGAGCGCTCTACCCGGGCATCGATTACAGCGACAACGTCCTGCGATGGGGTTTCATCCGCAAAGTCTATGGAATCCTGAGCACCCAGATCGTTCTCACAGCTCTCGTCGCGGCGGTGATCGTCTTCTCGCAGCCCGTCGCGGATTTCTTCGCGCACAACACACTGCTCCTCGTCCTCCTCGCGCTCCTGCCTCTGATACGTAAGTCCGTGCTTCTTTTTTTGCTTTTCTTCTTTGCTTGGCTTTCTGTGATCTTGGCTTTTGTCTTCCTGCTCAAAATCTTCCTGTGATCCTGTCAAGATTTAGTTTTCCTCTGCGTCTGCTTCCTTGCAAGAACTGGTTTTCGATCCTGTCTTCCTTGGATAAACTTCATCCTCTCCTGTTCCTGATTGTTTTGTTTTCCTTTTCCTCTCAGTGCTATGCCCGCTCTACAACTATCAGCACCACCATCCGCTCAACTTGGTTCTTCTCAGCCTCTTCACGGTCTTCTTGAGCCTCTCCGTCGGGACTTCCTGCGCCTTCATCCGAGGTAAGCAAAGCTTGTCCCGTTCCATCTGTTTTCACCCCTCGCTCCAAACGATTCTCAACCTGTTCCACTTTTTGTCCGAATCGCAGGAGACGTCCTGCTCGAGGCCCTCATTCTCACTGCTACAGTAGCACTAGCTCTGACAGCGTACACCTTCTGGGCAGTAAAGCAAGGCCACGACTTCAGCTTCCTCAGACCATATCTCTTCGTATCGCTTGTAGTCCTCGTGCTCTGGGGGATAATCCAGGTGTGTGCATATCGGACATCCCAGCTAATCCTCTCCTGTTTTTGTGGCTTCCAGATCTTCTTTCCTCTGGGACCAGTCTCGGGGACCATCTTTGCTGCAATAACCACCGTCATCTTCAGTGCATATATAATCTACGATACCGAGAACTTGATCAGAAGGTTCACTTTCGATGAGTATATCTGGGCTTCGGTGTCCCTGTACTTGGACATATTGAACCTTTTCTTAGCACTGCTAAATCTTTTGCGGGGCCTCCAGTCGAATAACTGAAACCTCTATACAATTGCCTGAAAAAATTTGTTACAGAAGAATAGAAAACAAGACTCCGAAACTGAGAAAAAAAAGAAAAAAACTAGAAGAGAACGGCGATTATTGTAACGGGAAAAAGAATCCCTTACCCACTGGCTTCTGATGTTAATGTACACTTACCTGTTCACCTCCAGTGTCCACTAAACACTTGTGAAAATGGTCTCCGCAACGTGACTTGTGGGAATAACTTCTCTCGAGCATCTTCGGCGTCTTTCCCTTCACTCGGCTTACTTTGTTGATTGAGAAGGTCCTTCTCGTCCTCGAGATTATCCTCGGTGTGCTGCTTTTTGTCACCTGTTTCCAAGTGGTAACCGAAGCCATGCACTGGTAAGTTGAAAAGTGCGTACTGGCTTTTCTTCTCCCTGGGTACAAGGCGAGCGACGAGCTTGAACGCAAATGGAGTGAGGACAAGGCTGAATGCGCTGGTACCCATCAAGAGGAGGTAGAGCTTTCTGGATACTAGTCCCAGGCCTTGAGCACGGCTCAGCAGCACAAACGAGAATTCCCCGATCTGTGCGAGAGCAATGCCAACGCTCACAGATATAGGAGTGCTGTAGCCAAATGCACAGACCTGAAACACCAGCAAACAAAACTTAGAAGCTTGCAAACAACAGTCGAGGACTTTCAAAATTGTACCACTATAGCGATCAAGAATGTTTTGCCGAAGAACAGAACCGCGAGTGACCCCAGTAGAATATCTTTGTGCTGCCAGAGAAATACGGGGTGCATGACCATGCCGATAGAAGCTAAAAAAAGCGAGGCAAATATATTCCGTATTGGCTCGACGTGGTGGAGAGTTTTCTCGCTATACGTTCCACCTGCACAAGAATACACAAAAGAACAATTTAAAATTAGAAGAAATCAAACCAAGTATACAACCTGATAGCATGAGACCCGCGACGAAAGCGCCAACTTCAAGCCCGAGCCCGAGGCTTTGACTTAGCATGGATATACTCAGACAAAGTCCAACGATTCCTAGCTGGTACAACTCGGAGCTGTTCTTCGACAAGCGGCTGAGAGCCGAAAGCAACCGTGAAACAACCAACTTGGAGGCGATCCAGGCCACCGCACAAAAACCGGACAGCAAAAGACACTCCCTTGCCAATGCAATCAGGATCGTCCAGGAGCTGCTGCCTTTGGCCGCGAGTGCCGGCATGACGGCTAGCAAGAGCCCCAAAGCGCAGTCTTGGAAAATAAGCGTGCCGAGTAGTATCTGGGACCACCGGAAAAGAAAACACAAAAACAACTTAGATCGTGTGCTTGTCACGCAAGTGTATTTAGATTAGATTCCAACCTGACCGTGTTCCGTGCCGGCCATGTTGGCGTCCATCATGCATTTTACCACGACCGCGGTGGACGACATGGACAGAAAAGCCCCTGCATACGGGCGCACGTCACACAATCTGCATAGAAAGTCAATGTAACTTTTGCTGCTAGACTACGAGACTCACCAATGAAGATACCCTGCGGAACCGTCGTGGAGAGCAGGGCCCCAAGCACCATCGCCGTGAGGATTTGGATGCACCCGCCGCCTAAAGCCACGGCTTTCACTCCCTGCATCTTTGTCGCGCTAAACTCCACGCCGAGAGCGAATAGCAAGAATATGACACCGAACTGAGCGAGTGTTTCTACCTGGAACGTAAAGCTTAGACAATGACAAAGACAATGACGAAGCTTCATACCTGGACTAGCTCGTGAACGAGGTGGAGACCACCTGGTCCCACGAACATCCCAGCAGCAAGGTAGCCCAGGATCACCGGCTGTCCCAGGAACGCAAAAACGATAGCTCCAAGCGCGGACGCAACCATGACGACGACAATGTCCCGGATCAACATCAAGTCCTCCTGAAACTGCATCTGAGACCTCTTCCCGGGATGACTGATAACGTACTCGTTGTCGTCTCTGTCGATCAACCGAGCAACGTCCTCCGACTGGTAGCGTCGCCCATTGTCTTTTCCTGCCGTGGAGTTCTTCTTCTCACCACCAGGCTTCTGACCGATAGTCGTAGCGTTTGGACTTGGATGCGGCAAAATGGAAGGATGCTCCAATGTGGCACTACTATCACGTCGCTCGTCTTGTGTCTCGGCAGTGGCATTAGTCTGCTGCTGCTGTGGCACCACCACCACCCCTTCTGGATCGATCGCTTTCTCTTCGTCCGGCTTGTCATCTTTGCCAGACTGCTGCTCGCTCTCTTTGCCATTGCTCCCGGGCTCCTCCTCGTCCATGGAGTGCTTGCCGACTCTCGCAACAGTCTCGAGCACACCACCTTGGTTCTCAATCGTGTCGTTAAACTTGCCCGCTTCCTTCTGGCTGTCATCCTCCAGAGAATCAAAAAGCTTCTCCACATTCTTGACTATCTGGCTCGCCTTGTCGTTCACCTCCTTGTTTCTTGTGTCGTTGCTCTTGACGTCCCACCTAACAGAGAAAGTAGCATTCCCTCCAGTCCCATTCGCAGCACCACCAAATCCCTCCACACCACTCCCATTCTTCGCCGCCGCCTCGAGAATCTCTAACGCATCGGTCCCTATGCTGCTACCACCATCGCCATCGCCTCTAGCATCGCTGGCGCTCGCAGATCCAGCTCGATACCACAGCAGGGGAAGCAGCAGCAGCAAGAGGAGCACTCTCATTGCCAAATTCCAGTCGCTCGATTCCAATCCACACCTCATGACGCTGCTGCCGCTTGAATCTCAGCTCCAGCGCTGCCACATTGCGACATCCTGCCGCATTCGTCGATCCGGCGCGCTCACCTGTGGAGAATCCCTGCCCTAACCCTATTACGCGGTAGCAAAATTTTAACAGGGCCCTGTGAATGGTAGAATATTCTCTTCCAGATTCGCTTCTTTCTTATTATTGCTATTGGCGCTGGTGGTGGTGTTGATGGTGCTGGTGCTCGTCGCCCACTACCACTTTCTGGACGATTATAATGTAGTAGTCTTCGCTGGGGACAACAATGAGCTCGTGTAATTTCGTTCTCACTCTCACCAACATCATGGTGTCCTACAAAAGAAATAAAAAAACAATCCAGCGATCAAAACGAAGGATCGGGCACAAAAAAGGAGTTTTCTTGGATGACTTACAGTTGGTTCGATATCGGCCGCCAAGTTCTTAGATTTCATCACGATCAGAGCGACGTATCTTGCGTACTGCACGAATAAGTACCTGTCTGTGTACGGGGCTTGAGACGTGGGAATTATCAAAAGAGCGAACCTGTGTCGTTGTGGCGTGGTCCATGGAGCTCTTGATGGGGATTCCAAGGCTGTCGGTCAAGATTGTCCCAACGATACCTTGGACAAAAAGAAAAAAGCCAGCATTTGTTTTATTCCAAGCTTGAGAAAACTCTATCGAATTTAAGTAGCTTAAGAGAGGTACCTTTGTGAGAGGATATACTCTTGAGTGTTTCCTCTGAAACGTACTGCATAAAAAACAGGGAGAGGAAGCTACAGTGAGCACAAAATTGAAAGCAATAGCACCTTGTTTTGACGTAGTGTTGCCGGGTCTATTCTCACAGCCTCCTCCAGAGACGATGGTACTGCGTCTTCGTCCATGACTGTATGAAACGACTAAAGGCGCAGCGCACAGTGATAGGTCCAGCTCGTTCGAGACCTAATCAATCGGTTCACCTGAAATCCCCACGTGGATGCCACGCAGGAAGAAAAAAGAAAAAAGAAAAAACGTTTGGTAACTCGCAAAAAAGAAAAAAAGAAAAAAAAAGCGGACACCAAGAGTGACTGACAAAGAAAAGATCTCGAGATAGAGGACACAGGAAAAACAAAAACGTTCGGTAACTCATGAAAGGAAAAAAGCAATTGTGAGATAGAGCACATATTAAAACACCTGGGAATCTAGACATCCAAGAAAACTTTGGCTTGGACAAAGGCGCAAATCACACTTTGTAACAACGGACGTACAGAGGTGGAACTGGAATCGAATGTAAAAACTCGCGAAACCGGCAACACACGAGGCGCGTACCTGCAGGTTACTATAAAGGCCTGCTCATTCGATTCGCTTGTCCGGCTGAAAACGATCTGCGAGGAAGCTTCGCCGAGTACGGGCTGCTGTTGGAATTTCGTTGGGTGATTCGAGCTGATCGAGGACTTCCACCATTCTGAGATTTTAGAAAACTTTTAGCTTCGGTTATACGAGTGCGCACAAAATTCTTACCGGAGTAAAAATTCGTTCCGCCGACATCATAGGAAGCACTTGCTTCGGCATTGCGTTATGTGGCAAATAATCAGCCCGAAGTGGGTTCAGTTTTTGGATGTCCTGGTCACAGGACCTGAAACCTCAACTTGTACTCGTTAGTAACCCCTTGGAAACAGTAGAGTAAAGCACGTACATGCATTTGAAACCCATTAGCGGCTTTCCACTAAACACCGCATGCTCTGGTTGCTCCATGAACTCACGAACAATCCGAGCTATTTTCTGCAAAAATGTGAAAACAGCTATCGTCTGGGAGGATACATCGAGGCAAGTTACCTGCATATCTTTCTTTTCTGCTTTTGTCTCTTTCATACCGTCAACTAGGATCTGCAACTCCTTCATTTGTGTTGTATCTTCTTTCACTTGTATTTGATTCTCTCTTAATGCTTTCTGCAGTAGCAAACATGTGAAATCAGATAGGCTCGCAATCCCTTACCTCAAAAGCAAAAAACATGTCCTCGTAGGCTGCTTCAGGATCTTGAGGTTTCTGATCAGAAAAAGTTTCTGGTGCACCTGGAGCTCCTGGAACGCCTGAGGCTGCCGGAACACCTGGAGCCCCTGGAGCGCCTGGAGGGCCTGGCGCTCCCAAAGGTCCAGAAGCTCCCGGTGCTCCTGCAACTGCACCTGAAGGAAAGCCAGCAGTTCCAGGTGGAGCGGCAGACACTTCTACGGGCTTTTGTTCTGGAGCAAACCGCTGGTCATGACCAGACATGATAAGCACGGTCCTTCCAAGATATCCCATGTCCCTATGAATCTGCAAAATTCTCAAATAAACTCAAGTTCTGAAATGTGCTGAGGACCATCACCTCTTCTAGCAGTCTGTCGTGATTTTTCAAAGCGTCACGGACTTCGTCCGCAACATAGTCCGTCACCATGCCCTGATAAACGTAAAAAATACTTCGCTCGCTAGATCAGACGCATGCATAAGTACTCTACTCACCTTTGTGCCTCCAGCTAGCAAACTTGATAACTTTGACGACCTACGATTGGGTGGAGGACCTGAAGCAGAGCCTCTCCTTTGTTGATGCCGAAGATCCTCAATCATTTGTGCCACTCTTTGAAGAGACTGGGGAAGGAAACAACATCAGCCAAAGCAGAATGCCAATAGAAAACTATCACCTCTTTGTTGGTTTGAGTCAGCGTTTCTAGAGCAACAACATCAGCTTTTGCTTGCAGGCGGTTTTGAAGATCGGTAACAGCGGTTCCAAGGTCTGCCACGATGGCACTCGGACGCCGCTGGCCTGGTTTGAGCTCCGGGGGAGCTACAAGTTTCGTATCAAGATCCACACGAAGTGCCTGAAGCCATTGAAAAGTTAAGGTGCCTTCATACAACGATTTTACGTACTTGGCAGTATTTGTTGAGTGCTTCTAGCTCAGCAGCATGATTTGAGGCGGTTTGCTGAAGTTGTATTTTGAGGTCATCTCCCTGAAGCAGTAACCCCGTTGTACCCGTGAACATTTGCCATGAAATTGAGATAGTTGAGAATTGCATACTTGATTTTCCAAACTTTGCAGCCTTCCACTGTGGTCCAGAACATCAGCTTGTAAAGACTCTATTTCTTCTGTCATAACTCGCACTGCCCCCGTCGTTTCCACTACATGCTGCTCAAACTGTGACTGGAAGTTTTCACCCTGTTTCCTTATTGTTTCGTCCTGCTCCTTGACTTTGGTTTGCAGCTCTGAACTGACCGCAGTCAGGTTCTGGATTCCTCCCTCTAAATCTTCAACTCTTTTGGGAACAGACTCGACGGCTGCCTTCAATTCTGCCAAATCCCCAGTCACTGTCTTGACGTTTACAGAATTTTCTTCCATCCTGCAATGAAAGCTTTTGTCAAGTTCCACTCACCAAGCACGAAGCATACCCTTTTTGAACAGCGTTGATACGATCTCCAGTGACTTTAACATGTGTATCGAGCTTCTCAGCCTGCTTTTGGACCTCGACCTCGGTGAAATCTTTACACTCTTTAGCCGTGTTTTTACTGCATTGCGTCGCGTCAGGGAAAGAAAAAACAGAAAAGAAAACGGGTCAAATCTCATACCAGACTTCGTAAATCTCCTCCTTGAAAGCTTGAAAATTTTTGGCGAGCTCCTCAGCTTTCTCAAGCCGTGCTGTCTGTGATACCGATGGTTAAAATCAATTTCTCTCCTCTGTTCTCAACGTAGCTACAACTTACATGAGCTGTGAGTCGATCGCAGACAGATCGCAAAAGACTTTGCAGTTTCTCCCACTGCAACTGCGCTACAACTGGTACATGGGTGACCGCCAAAATCTCCCGAATGATCGCAACATCGTCCATGGCTGCAAGATTACACCTGTCCTAAAAGCGTCGAGAACTATCTTCCTCAAAATCCTGCCTGCTTTTCAAGCTCCAGCGCACCAGCATTGCCATGTCCCATCAAAATCTCCCCAGGATCAAGGCCCCAAGAATCCGGGCAATGTGAGACTCATAGAGTACTTTCGATGCGCAAGCAGCCGATCGGAGCCATTTCTCGATCCAGCGCCTACCAGAGGAGTGATCGCTCGAGATCTGGTAAAAAACAGAGCTCCGGCGGTAAAGCAGCCTCGGCGCTCCCACGCTAGCCCTGCCCCAATACCCTAATCCCTCGCTAAGAGCTTCGCGTGACCACGCCCTTTCTGGCTCTTCCACCATTGTATGCAGCTCGTCGCTTTTGTCGACTTGGCAGCATCGCGGCGGTCCGTTGAGTGGAAAGAAACGAATCCCGGCCGTCGATGCCTTCTTTCGTCAGTTCTAATGGCAAAGGTCATGAGAGAGAAATGCGGGTGCTTTGCCTTCACTGCCTACGTGGCCAGGTTTTTAGGTATTAAACTATTTAGGGTTTTTCGCGATGGATGAGGCGGAGGCGCTCAAGACGATGAACTTGGGGGATGAGAATGCGCCAGACGATGCTGCTGAGGAGGTTGTGGATCCAGGCGCTGGACCGGTATGCCAAATCCTGTGCGTTGTTTCTTGGATTTTGATGCGATATTTTGGCGCAGGATGCCGTCGCAGCCAAGAAAAAGAAGAAGAAGAAGAAGAAGGGCGGTGCTGCTGCCGTTGTCGCTGCTAGCACTGACGAAGCTCTAGCTCGTGATAAGGAAGACGACGAAGATGAGAATCAGCCCGAAAATGAATCCGGTAAGGAAAGCTTTGCTGTTTTGGGCAGCTCCAGGCTCATTCCTTTTCACCTTTTCTTTGCTTTCAGCTGAAGCAACAAAGAAGAAGAAGAAGAAATCCAAGTACGTTAAATCACTACGCTGGGGTGTTTGTTTACTGATGCTTAAACATTTTATCAGGAAGAAGAAAGCAGCGACTGAGCAGACAGATCCTCCATCAGTTGCTGTAGCTGATCTCTTCCCATCCGGAGAGTTTCCTGTCGGAGAGATACAGCACTACAAGGATGAGTAAGACAATCGACTGACTTCCTCACTAATGCTTTATACGTGTTCTTCTACGTGACAGCAACCTCTGGAGAGAAACATCGGAAGAAAAACGAGAATTGGAAAGGCTAGAGAAGCCCATATATAATGAAGTTCGTCAAGCCGCAGAAGTACATCGTCAGGTACCTTTTTAAAAAAATGCGATGCACAATTTTATAATTTCATTCCTTCCATATGCTAGGTGCGGAATTACATTCGCAAGTACGCAAAGCCTGGAGTTGCAATGGTCGATATTTGCGAAACACTAGAAAACATGGTGCGAAAACTTATATCTGAAAATGGATTGCATGCGGGAATTGCATTTCCAACTGGCTGCTCTTTAAATTGGTACTGCGCATATTATCTTGATAAAATTTTGTAAATATTTTGGTGGCTCAGGGTAGCTGCGCACTGGACACCAAATGCTGGAGACAAAACAGTACTCCAGTACGATGATGTTATGAAGCTGGATTTCGGAACTCATATCGAAGGTTTGTTTTTTTTTTCTTTTTGCAAAATCTAAGTTTTCAAATGTATTATTCAGGGCGTATAATCGATTGCGCGTTTACACTTGCCTTCAATCCCATGTTCGATCCTCTTTTGGAGGCTGCGCGAGAAGCAACGAACACTGGTATTCGGGTACGTTTTTGCAAATTTACCCCTCATTTAACGTAGTTTGGATGCATTTCTAGGAAACGGGAATCGATGTGAGGCTTTGTGACGTTGGCGCTGCTATTCAAGAGGTGATGGAGTCTTATGAAGTTGAGATAAATGGCAAAACATTTCAAGGTAAACGTTTATGTCTTATGTTTCATAAAACATTTTTATTTTGAATGTACAGTGAAAAGTATAAGAAATTTGAACGGTCACAGCATAGGACCATATCAAATACATGCGGGTAAATCTGTTCCTATTGTCAAAGGAGGAGAACAAACAAAAATGGAAGAAGGAGAATTTTATGCCATCGAGACTTTTGGCTCCACTGGTTTGCAATTTTAGTTGGTCGCCGTACTTTGTCGACAACTGTTTTTGCAGGGAAAGGCTATGTGAGAGAAGATTTGGAATGCAGTCACTACATGAAGGATTTCGACGTCGGTCATGTTCCTTTGAGGCTGCCACGGGCAAAGCAGCTGCTGGCAACCATCGACAAAAACTTTTCAACGCTGGCTTTTTGTCGTCGGTATCTGGATAGGCTGGGTGAGACGAAATACTTGATGGCTTTGAAAAATCTGTGTGACGCTGGCATCGTCCAGGTAAGTCGACGTTTCCCTTATGGTTGTGCTGTTACTAAGTACGTGACGTCTTACAGCCATATCCACCCTTATGCGATATCAAGGGTAGCTACGTTGCTCAATTTGAGCACACGGTCCTACTTCGGCCAACGTGCAAAGAGGTATTGTCCAGGGGCGATGATTATTGAACGGGAGATGGCATCGTGTAGATGTTGCTCTTTGTACAGTAACCGTTCCAGGTTAAATAAAGTTTCCGGATGAAAGTTTTCCAATATCATTGTTCGAGCATTTGGTTGATCGAGTTTCGGCTGCTCCTTTTGTACGGTAAACTTAGTTTTTTCATTGCGGACATTCTCTGATCACGCAATCTTTGTGTTAACTGCAGTTAATTTAAGGCAGCCTGACAGCAACTGTTTCTTCAATGCATCTCTAACAGGTGTTTCTGGGATTGAGTGAGAAAGCAAAAGCCTGGGATCGTGGGATTACGCCATCATGAACTTTGAAAGTTTCGGACACTCGCTCCCTACTTGACAGATAGTCAGTTAAACAGAGAAGATCCGTTACTAACAGGTACGTTGGAAGTACGTCATTCTTATTGCATGACTTAACTACTGTTGTTTATGCCGGGGCTTAAACCGAAGTACAAGGTAAGCGAGAAGTCTATAGACGACGGCGAAAATTGCCGAAACGCCCAGGTTCATCCACTTGCTGGAATGCTCGAGGCCGGACTCGACCAGCACACTTCTTCCCGTGAGATTGCAGACTTTCGCAAAGCACACGTCAGAAAGAGACTCGTACTCGTTAATGAGCATCGCATCCAGTGGGTACTTGAAGACGGACAGGTAGTGCATAAACAGCCAGTACTTGGGAATATGATCCTTGGGGACGAAGTAGCCTGAGAAGAGGAAGAACGCTCCAAGAGTACCGGTGACGAGAGTGTTCCCCAATATATAGTCCGGAACCAGTGCGCTGAAGAAGGAAACGATCGAGTTGGCGTCCACCACTACCATCCACACATCGAGCAGGAAGAAGACGTACGCTTCAATGGAATGGTTGAGGCCAACGAGGAAGTACGCCGGTACCGTATACAGGAGCGAGAAGACGAACAGGAACGGCAGGAACATGAGCGTGTTGGCGATCACATACGACGAGACCCTGTATGTTCCCCTGGAAGTTTCACGCTCGAAGATCTGGCGCTCCGCGAGAAACATCGGCAGTGACTCACTCGTCGACGTGAGCAGGAACGTGAGAGTGAAGGCGAAGAAGCCGTAGCGTTCCCGGACGCCTACGACGTTCCGTCCCAGGTGGGTGAACACCGAGCCGAGAGCAAAGCCAGCACCGAGCGCTTGCGCAGTTCTCGCCAGCGACAACTGCTTGGTTCTCCATATGGTCTTCCAACACCGGCTAGACAGCAACAAGATCTCCCTGCATCGAGAGTTGGCGAAAGTTGGCTTGTCGACGATCCGAGGAGCAGCAAAAACCGATGGTGGCGGTGGTGGTGGCGACTTGTCGTGCACTCTCTGGTTGAACAAGTCCTCGAGCGAGCAGCGCATTTTCGAGACCGGAACGTTGAAACACTCGGCGATGATACCGTCGCAGCCCCTGTCCGCCTCGATCAGATTGATGGTCTCGATGGCATACTCGACAACGTTCACCTGAGGGGGGAAGCTGTGGCCGGCCGCGAAGAGCTTGTCCGAGAGCTCCTGCAAGCTCCCGCTGTGGATCATCCGTCCTGGACCCAGCAGCACGATGGAGTGAATGAGCTCGAGGATCCGGAAGCCCGGCTGGTGGATACTGAGGATGATGGTCCTCTCGTGGGACTTAGCCATGTTGTGGAGCATCGCCACCACCTGGAGCGCCGCCGCTGAGTCCAAGCCGGAAGTTGGCTCGTCCAGGAGCAGTACGGCCGGGTCGTGGATCACGTCAACTCCGATAGAAACTCTCCGTCGCTCGCCGCCAGAGACTCCACGGACAGCGTCGCTGCCTATCCTCGACGACGCCACGCCACGCAGCCCGAGCTCCGCCATGAGCAGCTCCACCCGAGCGCGCTTGGCCGACGCGGGCATGCTGGAAGGAAGCCGGAGCTGCGCGCTACACATGAGCGTCTCCGCCACGGTGAGCATCGGGAAGAGCAAGTCGTGCTGCATGACGTAGCCGGAGATCCGCCGGAAGGAGCTCAGCTCCATTGGCCGCTTGTTCACCAGTATGCTGCTGTTCTTCGCGGGGGTGATGCGACCGGCCAGTATCTCCAGGAGGGTCGACTTCCCTGCTCCGCTCGGCCCCGCAATTGCGAGCAATTCACCCGGCTTGGCAGTACAGTTGACGTTCCGGAGGATGGTCTTGGTCTGGAGGAGCTCCGGCCAGTAGTTCTTTGGGACGAAGCACGCTACTCCGGTGGACGCTCTGCTGGGGACTGTATGATAGCTGAGGTTCTTTACCTGGATCTCGTACGGGACCGAGCGCCTCGGCGAGTGGAGAGGCGAGTCGTCTTCGTCGCTGTAGAGCTTGACGTGCGGGATGTTTACAACGGTCTCGTCCCGCATGCTGTGAGTGCAAGGTCGCTGGCAAGCTCCACATCGCAGGGGACTCTTCTGGGACAGGACTTGGAGGAGATTGTTACCATTGCCGGCGTGGCTGTTGCTGCTGCTCTTGTGAGTATTATTACTTCCCTCTTCTCCTGTTGTTGATTGTTCTTCGCTCGACTCCTGAGCCATTCCCATCGCTGACTCGCTTTCCTTTCGTGACAGAAGCTCTAGCAGCAACACCTCTGCCGCTGTCTTCCAAGGTCTAAAGGAAATGCACCACGCATGAACGCAAAAGGTAGATTGAGCTCAAGCTCACACACTCTTTTCTCCCTTCCTTTTTTCTTTCTTTCGTTTCCACACAGAGCTATCCTGCAAGTTCCAGCGCAAGTGCTATATGCTTTTTGCCTCTCGAGGAGTAAATGCAAGCGAGGAGCACAGCAGTGGTGGTGCTTTAGCTCAAACCTGTGACTCGAATGTGCTCGCCTGGTTTATATACCTACACCACACATAAGGCGGAGAACTGCGCGGGTTGACAGGAGCCAGGCCTGTGCGTGATGCCGAGTGGTGGTAAATGCTTTATCATGATTATCGAGGTAAGCTTCCAATCTATTCCTTGCTTAATTATCTTTGCAACTTGCAAGGGCTGTGGCGTGATACGCAAGATTTTCCACGCGTGGCAACTCTTACGTAATTGCATGGATTCTAACAGGTAACCATAGCTCTGTGTTCATTAACTTGCAAGGAATAACCTCTTCTCCGTTAGGTGGAGTGGTCACATAAAACCCATAACTATGTGCTTTCACTGCTCAAACGTCCTCGTCCATCGTGGATACACACTAAAAACCAGGTAATCTTTTTGGAAGTTACCCCCTTGCGTGTGAAAGAGTCTTACATTAGTTTGTTCTTCGTACACCAGTTCTAAAAAACACATGTGACTTTTCAGAGGGCGCTTAAATCCTGTGTGTGATTGGAGCTAAACTTGAAAACGCTGTGCCTCCATATGTTTGTCTTGTAGAAGAATGCTACTCAACTCAACTCAGAGCTCCAGAGCTCCAGAGCTCACAGTGCAGTGCACCGCAGATGAAAGGATTTTTTTCTTTCCCCAGGACAGCGAATGAAGAACCGCAAGAAAACAAAGTAAAAAAAAAGTTGGATCTGGGGGTTTTCTTACTGAGAGAACCGGAGACGAGGACCAAGCAGCTTCATGCGAGAACGCCACACACAAAAGTAGCGAAAAAGAGAGAAAAAGCTGCGCGCAGTTTACGCGTTTGTTTGTTTCTCCCTGACAGAGGAGAAAGGAATTTATACCAAGGAAAGAGACCAAACCTTGTGTGTGTGTGTGTGTTCGCCACCACAAAGAATGTAAAAGAATCCCGATGGATAGGGTCATTCCTAAGGCCCTTATGCGTGCTTGCCTGACTAAAAACAGTGGGACAGCCAAGAGTCACGGATCACCCATGCCAAGCCGCTGGACAAAAGTTTTTTAAAAAAATGGAGAAATAGGAAAAACTTGAGAACTTTCTTACTTGGAGTCATGATAAGTCGAGAATCAGCTGGCCTGCTATGATCCCGCAAGCACATACGCCTGTAACCGCCAAGGTTCCACGCTTTGTGATCCAGTTTCTTCCGCCAGGATACTGGGAGTTTCCAGATTCTTTGGCCAGTCCCCACGCCATTACAGGTGGAAGAACACCATAGAGCGTGGTCATGCCATATCCCCCCTGCGTTAAGTTTCAGCGCATCAGCTCGCGACATCTTAGAGCACAGAGAAAACGATTTTCTTTTAGCTTACCGCCAGGTCTGCAGCTGTGAAGAAGGCGTCTGAGATACTTAGTGAGAGCAGGAGAGGAGGAACGAGAACCAATGCCACCGAGACGAGTTTTATATGCGCTGGCCTCGGGGACGTTGCATCATCAAAGAATGTTTCGCCTGGAAGTAAGATGGCGATGGACTTCCCAAGCCGCTCGATGAAAAACTCGGACATTCCGAGCACGGAGCCAATTATGGATGTTAGCACGGCTAGAAGAGAAAAGAGCTGCACAGCGAAGGAGGTCCTGCATGTACAAACGTTGTTGCAGAAAAGAAGAAAGAAAATACGAGCTTACTGAATAGCCAGACTTAGAGGATCCGCATTCCCAGACGTAGAAGCGAGAGAAAGAGCTACAGCGTTCCAGCACAGAAGCATGGCCAGAGGTATCGCGCTGCCGACGATAACCGACGTCTGTATCCGCCTTACATCGCCATCCAAATATGTGCAAATGACTACAAAACCTTTCATGTTATCGAGGACACGTTCATCGCTTTCGCCATACCTGGAATTAAGTCGTGGTAAACCAGAGCCAGAAAAATAACGGGAATAGCCTCTGGAGCCGTGTTCCAGTTCTGATGCAAAAGAGCTGCCCAGTCTCCATATTTAGAGCCTCCAATGACGAGCAAGAGAAAGAGCCCTGCAGAATGGTTTCTTGTAAAGAAAAAACTTTTTCTTTGGAAAAAGGACTTCACCTCACCTATCAGTCCCGCAGTCATGAACTGATTGGCTCGGTCAGCGAGTTTGGTTCCGCCAGAGAGAAGCAAATATCCAAATACGCCGACGAACAAAACTTCCGCTATCTGTCTTGGGACGTGAAATAACAGGGAGAGAACTTCGCCTGACTTGGAAATGTAGGCCACTATAAGTGCATATGTGAGGAGCACGTAAACCGCTCCAACAAGGATTCCTCCTCGGCTGCCCAGAGTTGTCTCGGCCATAGTTTGAAGAGAGATGACTTTCGACAGTGAATGGTTTGCTTTTTTGCTGCTCATCAGAGCCAAGTTCACTTCGACCAGAAGAAAAGCCTCCAAAACCAAAAAGATCCAAGAAACAGTCATTATGCTTGCAGAGGGAATAAAACCCTGAGAGGGAAAATGAAAGAATAACGTTTACAAAAGAAAAACAAAAACAATAATCTGGACTCACTGCTGCGATAGTTTTTGCTGGTACTGCCAGAATTCCAGCACCAATGCTGGTTCCAGTAATCAACGCAATTGCTCCCACAAGCGTGCCATTGCCTGGTGTTGTTTCAGCGCTCTCTCTCCTGATGCTCCTGCCTTTCACACTTGTACTCCTGCGAAAACTTTCAATTAACAATCGAACACCACCAGTTGCATTACCTTGGTCGATCCTCTTGGGACCCTGCTGCAGGATTTAACCTCTGGAATTTCTTGCAGGCTGTAGGAACCCGACTATGAAAGACAATTTGACTCCTCACACATCTCCCCGGAAATTGTACTCCGGGTTTCACGTAGAGCTGCTTAAATCCAAAAGCGTTAGAAAATAGATAAAACGCCGAACATGATAGCTTACCTCAGAACAAGACCATCCCCCTCGAATATCCATGCCCTCCTCACTGCTCCCAGGACATGGGAAGCACAAAGATCCCGGCCCTTCCGAAGAAAAAAATCGGAAATAGAGAATATAATGTAGGACCGACGTCTTCAAAGTCATTGTCGTCTTGCACCCTTGTTTTCCATGGACTCGCAAGCTGTAGCCACTCTGCTGTCAAACATCCAGTCGGGATGAAAGAAAAAAAAAAGATTTTACGTACTTGGACATCTGCTTAGAGAGGAGCCCTGCTGTAGACTTGCAGGCCCTTCCACGGTGGAGCAGGATTGTCCCGAGCCATGAAGCCTTGCATGATCTTCTCGATCGCTTCTGATGACGGATAAGGCCTTCGCAATGCTATGCTGTTTCCGTCTTGAACTGGTACAATCAGTTCGCTGGTGAAGACGTTTTTGATCTTCTGTGCAGTCGTCTCATGCCTCGCACCTAGAGTCCTCAGGCAGGAAAACCGTAAGTTGTAATCCACGATCCTCTTCACCCGGTCCAAGTTCTTCGAGCACTTGTAGTAGTCAAGTATGCTGTTGGCCACACGAGCAAACTCCTCCACGATTTCAATCTCTGTCTTGTGCATCAGGTAGCGGTGAACCGTCGGCCTTCCCCGCATCAAGAACATGGAATTATTGAGCATGATCCTGATGTTCCGGATGGGAGTGTAAAACTCTGGTGGTGTCATTGTTGGCTTCACGATTGGCTCCTTGGCCTGCTTCTGTGGCTTTGGTGGTTTCTGGGCCGCCACTCTCTGCTTCTTCTTTTCATCGACAAAGGACTTGAGTGAAGCTTCCAACTGCTTCGCAGCTTCTGTGACTTCTGGAGGAAAAATCTTCTGTGTCCTCCTGTTCAACAGTATCTCCCTCGGACTCATAATGTGGTAGATGTTACGGTACTCCGGCCCGACGATGGTGTCCTTGAGATTCTTAAGCACTTGCTGGAGTAAGTCCGATCCCTTTGTGACGTCCATTTGAACTGTACATGTCTCGTCGTAAGCTCGGCGAACTGTTTTCTTGCCAGCATGGACGTATTTCCTCATGACCCGTCGCCACCTATCTCCTTCTTTGATGAGTTCCAGTCTAGCCATGCGTTTCTTCCATTCCGACTCGGTCTTGTTCTTGGGACTGTAGAAACCTTCAGGATCGTCGCAAACTATTCGAAAGCCGAGAAAGCTGGCAGGGTTTTGCATGCTGTCCGCAATCGATCCAGACTTCCTCTTGTTCATGTTGAAGCCAAGCTTCTCAATGAAAAACTTGGCGTCGTAGAAGATGTTGCTCGCGTCCTCCTTCGTACCGATAAAGCCCATCATGAACTGAGTTCCATGCCGGACGTACCAAAGCCTTCTATACTCCGGAAACTTGGCGATCAAAATGTGCCTCACGCCTTCACGCTTGAATGGTATGCTCGCTTCACGGCCATCCTTCATCGTCACGCACGGAATCTCTCCCCTCTTGTAGAGAGATATGTTGTGAGCGACTGAAAGATCGAACTTGTGCAAGTAGACGTTGCAAAGGAGCCTTCCCAGATTGGTCGACTTTCGGACGCGGCACCGGATCCCTTCCTCTACAGATCCCCGGATCATCCTCAAGACTCTCATGTCTCCAACAAGCTGCCGGAGTTCGTCCTGGAGATTCTTGGTCATTTTCCTCTCGCGGCAGCTCTGGATCCTGAACTTGAGAAACCAGCTTATGCCGACCCATCTCCGGATCTCCTTGAGAGCCGAGTGCTCTCCCAAGCCAGGGCGATGGCCGTGGGAGTAAACCAGAAAGTAAGGCTCGTAGACGGCCTCCAGCACCATCCTGAGCGCTTCCCGGACAATCTTATCGCCATTTCTCCCGCTAATATGCACCTTCTTTGCCGGTCCAGCAACTGTGTTTTCGAGAGAACTCCGAGGTACGAGCGCGTTGGTGCATTTCTCGTTTGGATTTTCAGCCTGAAAGAAGCAAAGAAAAAAACTCACGAAGAACTTCCAAAGTTTTGTATTCACCTTGAAAACGTCCGCGTTCCTCTCGTTTAGAACCTCCGCAGTGTTGCCAGGATCCTGCCAGAACATCAAACTTTAGACTCCAAGAGAAAAACTTCCTACCTTCTTTTTCCCTGGACGCCGGTTCCGTGGATGATCCTGCAAGAAAAGAAAGAAGCTAGCTCTTTATACCAAGCAAATCTTTCATTCAAATCTCTCGCGCACCTTCTTCACCGCACCAATGGTAGCGCTCCCCCGAGAAGAATTCCCCAGCTGCAAGAGAACAAGAACAAAAATTTACCACTCCAGAGGTTCCCATTTTTCCTCTACCTCTTTCGCCGATCCCGCATTCGCGCACTGCAAGCAAGCATTAGCTCCTGGCGATGGATCCACACAGAAATATCGATCGCAGCGCCGAGAGAGATCCTACCTTGGAGTATCGCCGGACGATCGCGAGAAGGCGCATTCCCTCCTCTAAAACCCTAAACCCTTGCAATGTGAGCAAGCATTGATCATCTTTCCACCGCCGCGCCTTTCCATTCCGTGATCAACGACAGCAAACTAGGGCTCATGGACCAAGTGGTGGTAATTGGGGATTCTCTCGCAATCCCTGGGAAGGAGAGCGTTTCAAGGTAAGCGAAGATCAATCACGCATAGCTTCTCTGATAATCTCCACTAGTGGCCATGGATCGCAGAGCGTGAGCGGAGAAATCCGCGCGACCGTGTGTGGAATTCTCCGGCCCCAAGGCTCTTTCATCACAGTCGATCCATTCTTGACAAGGTTTGCTTGCTTCTTCCAAGTTCGCTGGAATGTTTTTCTTTCGTTGTTCTTGCCAGATACAAGCCGGAGAAGGGCCATGTCGTGATCGGGCGTATTGTAGAGGTGATGTGTTCTTCGCTAGTGAGCGTTGGCTCAAGGATTTCTTCGTTTCTGCAAGGTTGCGCAAGGGAGCTGGAGGGTGGACATCAGCTGCGATCGCCATGCTCGATTGGAGCTATCGTCTGTGGATCTGCCAGCGAGCATCCAGGTAACTTACGTCGATTCTCTTCGTGATCTTCGAGCCTGTCCGTGATCCAGCGACGAAGAACTGCCGCGGATGAGCTCAACATGCGAAACTTTCTCGTCGAAACCGATGTCATCAGGATTGTTTTTGTGTTTCTCCCTCGATCACGCTCACGATTCTATCTACCCAGGCCGAGATCACCAAGGCCGATCAAGGCTGGCCAGCGGAGCTCTACAGACTGGGAACGTTTCAGAAGCTCGCCTATGGAAACGTTTGTGAGAAAGAGAATTGTTCTTCCTGGAAAACTTATTCGTTCTTCGCAGCTCAAGAAGGGCCAAGCTGTCAAGGTGAAACCATACCTGCTCAAGATGAAGAAGCACGTCCATGTCTTCCACGCCAAGGAGTGCCAAGTGAGATCATCTTCGGCTGCAATGGCAGGGTCTGGATTGGCGATGCGAACCAAGGCGATGAGGTCGAGCAGGAGCTTTCGATTGGCACCAGGGAGGTGATTTGCCGCCTCGCAAACGCCGTGAGGGCGATGAATGCCGCGGGAGTGCTCATCTGGTTCGAGCGAGTCGTGGAGGCTTTCGACAAGAGCCTCAGCTCCGCCACCACCATCAGAGAAATGCTGGACTCCAGATTCGAGCACCAAGTTTCTCAAAGTAGCTGGAACAAATCGAAGAGATCTTCGGGAAGATCATCCTTATATCATACCTTTCTCGATGGATCTTAGTGTTCTTTCGGGATTCTTTGGAGAATGTTGCCAATTCCGTGCTTGATCTTGCTAAATCTTTTATATCGATCTCATACCTTCTTTATCGATCGAGCGCTAGTTCTACTGCGATCGACAGCACACTGCAAGAGAATATCAGATCCTTGCGGTGATTTCAACACAAAATATCGATCGCGACCCTGAGAACAAGAAATCCATGCTTAGATCGCACCGGACGATCGCTCACGCACTGCAGGCATTGGCCAGCAGCACGTATCCCGCTCCATCGCCACCTTCCAGATCAAGCACGCTCTTGGCGGCGGCCGCGCCATTCCCATCGCCGCTCCTCCCCCAAGCGCCTAGCAAGCTCCTCCAGTATGCCGCGTCCGGAAGATAAGGCATATTCGCGATCAAGTCCCGGGCATCTTCCAGATGCCCCGACCGGCTCAACACATCCACCATGCACGAGAAGTGCTGGCTTTCCGGCCTCATGTCATAGTCCAGCGTCATTGCCACGAGGGACGCCCGGCACGCGCCAAGCTTGCCAGCGTGGCTGCACGACAGCATGACCGAGATGAAGTGCGTGCCAGCTGGCATCTCATATAGCACCGACACGTGGAAGAGCTCCAGCGCCGTCCTGGGCTGCCCGTTTTGGGCGTAGCCGGCAATCAGCGCACTCCACGTCACCACATTCTTCGCGGGCATCGCGTCGAAAATCCTCTGGCTCTGCCCGAGATTCCCATTCTGGGCATATGCCGCCAGCATGGCTGTCCACGTCACAACGTCACGCTCCAGCAGGGCGTGGAAGACTTTCCACGCGTCTTTCATATGCCCGAGCTGGGAATATCCACACAGGAGCGCGTTAGATGATACCAGAGTTCTTTGAGGCATGTCCGTGGCAAGCTTCTGTGCATATTCCAGATGCCCTCTTTGGGCATATGCGGCCACAATGATATTCCAAGTTACAGCATCATGCTCCGGCATAGAATCAAAGAAGCTTTTGGCAACTTCTACAGACTCTTGTTGGGAATATGCACCTAGCATGGTGTTCCAGGAGATAATATTTCTCTCTGGCATCGTATCAAAGACATCTTTTGCATCACTAGTATGCCCATTTGCCGCAAATATTGAGAGCATAGACGTCCATGATACAATGTTCCACTCTGGCATTTTATCAAATAAAAATTTAGCCTCTTTCCATTCGTCATTTTCCACGTAAGAATCCAGCATGGCATTCCAAGAGACTACATTTCTCTGTGGCATGGAGCTAAACACGTCAACCGTGTCTTGCAGATGCCCACTATGAGCATAAGCCGAGAGCATGGCATTCCACGTCACCGTGTCTCTTTCCGGGGCGGAATCAAACACCTCCTTGGCCTCCTGGACATTCAAGCTACACGCCGCAACCATGGCATTCCATGTTACAAGATTATGCTGCGGAATGTCCTCGTAAAACAACCGCTTGGCTTCTTCCACGTGTCCATTCTGTGCATAGGCGGAGATCACGGCCGTCGACGAGATGAGGTCCTGTTCTGGCATACTTTCCAGTAACCGCCTTGCATGCTCGAAGAATCCCAGTTGTGAATATACCGCAACCATGGCAGTCCACGACACAAGGTTCCATTTTGGCATGGAATCAAATATTTGTTTGGCATCATCAAGATACCCATTGTGGGCATATGCTGATAATATTGCATTCCATGAAACAATATCACGTTCTTGTATGAACACGAAAAAGAATCCAGCAACCTCTTTGATATGCCCGTTTTGGGCATATGCAGCCAGCATGCAATTAAAAGAAACAATGTTCCATTTTGGCATCGCATCAAAGACGCTCTTAGCCTCGTCGATATGCCCATTGCTGCAGTAGGCAGTGAGCATTAGATTCCAGGTGAAGGAATCTCTCACGACGCTCGCGTCAAAGATCCGACGAGCATGATCCACGCTCCCGCATTTGCCGTACATATGGATGAGGCGATTCGACAGGAAAACGTCGCTAGCTTTGAGGAGCGGCTTGATTTTGAGGTGAAGCTCCTGGGCAGTGCGCAGCGTCTTGCAACTGTCAATCAGTCGGAGGCACTCTTTGCGATCGATGCATGGTGTCATACCCTGCTGAAACTAACTGTCACTTTTTCGTATAGAGAAACTGGAAAAACAAACTTTTCAGCGTGCGAGTCGACCGCCAACACAAACTTGTTCCTCGGGGATACAAGCCAAAGGCATTACCGAGTGCTTGCCGAGATCAAACAAAGTCCTGACAGTAAACCCAGAACTAAAGTTTTGAGCAAGAGCGTTAAACTCACGAACAAACTGGCCTGAAGCGTCACTAGCAAGCGAGACGAGCAGCAGCGCTCCGATGATCCAGGCCGAGCTGTTCTTCATATCGTGCTCTAAAACACATTCAGCCTTCAAGAGATTGTGATGGGAATGGCACGACCGCGTCGTTTAGCCTGAGATGGTTTCCATTTCCTAACTGGTTAAATACCATGAACAATGGATAAGAACAACTTCGAGAAAGGTATGCTGTAGCTTTAGGATGATCTCATGTTCTTTGGAAAATGTGCCAGTTCTGGTGGGTGATTCTCCATATCAAGCACTAATTCTACTTGCAATGATTTCATCCCAAAATATCACATACATCCCACTCCCAGATCAAGCACACTCTTGGCGGGGGTCGTGCCATTCCCATGACACATGAAGGCTGAATTCACATTAGATTTTCTTAGGGCTTGCCCACATTTCTGAATACACTTGTATTTACTTTATTTGCATGAATTTATTTGCATATCTTGATCACTCACAATGTCAACTAGCAATCCATAAAAACTGAATAATTGGTTTATAAACACTTAAGAAAATTTTCATTTTCATTAGAAATAAATAAACTATCTTTGTCAAACAATCCTCTAAATAGCATTATTTCCTCAAAATATTTTATATAAACTAATGATAAAGTTGACTAAAATATTATACCATTTTTTCTCAAATACATATAAAGGATAAAATAAATTAGTGATAAGCAATTAAAGAGAATAATTTGAAAGCCATTGAGGTTAAATATAAATAAAAATGCAATCTTTTTTTCCAATCAGTTAAAGGTCTTCGGATATTTAGGGTTAAGATTTTTTGAGTTTGAGTAATATTAGGCTGGATGACCTTAAATTCAAGAGATTACATTTCATATTATAAGGATTATATATTAAATTGTTCATTTGTTTTCTTTAACTTTTGTCACTGAGCAAAACAACCTTGAAGATAATTTTGACAATGAAATACAAAAGAAATTGATGGTCTGAATCCATATAAAAGTCCAATTAATATAAATAATACTACCACCTATTTATAGTAACAATTATGCTTGTAACTCTTTGTTTCGAGAAGGTTAATTTCATTGTAAAACTTTGAAGAATTTTTTCACTTGTCATTCCAATTATGAATAGTAGCAAACTTTAACATATTCTAGAGAAAATCAGTTAAAAAAATAGTTATCTCTAAAAAGTCCTTTATAAATCATTAAAAAACTTTAGTCATACCAAGAAAACTATAAAAATCATGCACTATCGAAAGTATATACCAATTAACCATCTCTCACACCATGTATTGAAATCAAATGCTCAAAATATTCAATTTCCTCTAAGAAAAACCCACACTTGGATAATTTCAAGTAGGGTTCATTGTCTCTCAAGAATTCCAAAACTCTTTATACATGGATCTTATATTCTTTTATTATAAAGCTAAATATTAGGATATCATCAAAGTAATCAATTGTGAAATTTCTTATGCAAGGCTGTAAAATTTAATTCATCAACCTCTAAAAAGTCACAGAAACATTTGTCAAATCAAACAGCATCACTAAAAACTCATAATTGTTGCAAATATAATTATGAGTATCAAAAGCTACCAATCAACAAATCTATCCTCTTATTACCACAATAACAAAATGTTAATATTGCTAGACCTTTTATCAATCTCCACCCAAGTTAGTTAATAATTTAGTTAACATATATCCACTTATATCGAAAGGGCATAAGGAAAGAAATCCTAAATTATCATTAGTCATGCATATTTAGAATAATGATTAAAAAACTCATATATTTAGATTGCACTTACTAGTGTTGAAAATCCATAAATATTAACTCCAATCCCTTAATGTTTACTATATAATAAAATTTTGTGTCCACCAAACACTCTTGTTTTTCTGCCCCTTGCATTAGTCTCATTTTGGTCTTATTAGTTATTTATAAAAAGTGTCTAAATTTGTCAATTAGGTATATTTATAGATGTAAAGAATGTCTCAAACATGATAATGTTATTCTTATATCCAAATTTGCAATATAATGTCATTTTATATTTAAATTTTTTGTAAGTTTATCCTAAAAACTAACTTTTAAAACTAGGATGAAAGCCTAAAGCTAGCTTTCATATTAAGGGGGTCCAAATGTATAGAAAGGATAATAAGTAGGAGGCATTTGTGACCAACCTATTTAACAAGGTATATTTTTCTTTGTTCTGCATCTAATTTTGTTTAAACCCAAACTCCTTAGCTAGTGGAGTATCTATGTCCTTATATTATACCATTAATATGCCAAAATTAGCATTAGAATATATTTGGTTTTATTTTATATATTAATCTTAGTATTGAAAAATTACATTCTCTAAATTTTAATATTGTTTCATACTCTTATTATTTTACTTTTTGATTGTGTGCTTAAGAGTTTGGCTTTATCCCTTTGTTCAATAACTGAAAACCCTGAAACTTAAATCTTAATTTGTTCCCCTTGGTGGTTATGCTTAAGCTTGTGAGTGAGCAATTTAAAGTTACACTTTGAGTTAGAAAGATTAATGTTAGTTTATCAGTGGTTACTTTAAGTTATTACCATAATACTATAAGTAAAAATAAACCTCCTATAATTATTAGTGGATGAATCAAGACTGTAGGATTAGTTTATTGATTCAAGTAGTCATTTATATATTAAAATAAAAAGACTACTAATGCAAGTTTAAGGTTTGGTCAAGTTGAGCCCGAAAATAAAGTCAAAATAAAAGACCATATCCAAATTTATAAATTTTACCCTAACACAAATGAATATTCATTATTTGGGAGCCTGCTTCTATAGATATTGGCAGTCAATCCATAGGAGCTAGAAAGTATTGACACCAAAATTATATTTAAACTTTCTGTAAAGCTGGTCTGTGAAGTTATATTGATTATTTTATACTTTCTACTTTTATTTATTAAAAAGGAAGAATATGTGGTAAGATTAAGACTTATAGTTGATTTTATTAGCTAAGCTGTTTCAGAAAACATGATGGTATTAGAGAACCTTCTTGATATCATTCCTCCAAAGCTAACTCAAGACTAAAAACTAGCAAATGCCCTCTCTTTGACATACAACACACGCACACACTCAGACAACTTTGCATTTCCCAGCAACAGAACCAAAAACGTCTAGAAACAAAGGAACACTCTTTTATTCCTTATAATTCTTCAAAACCATTTTGTTATCCCAGACCAATCTCTCCATCATCTCCACTAGGCTCTTTTAAACCTCTTTTCCATACTATTTTAATTATAGCTTCTCCATTTTTTTCTCTCTCCTCAGTGATAAAGTCTATTGAAATGTTATCCCATTTGTTTATTTATATATAAACGATAAAAAATTTAGTTGTAAGTAATTAAAAAGAACAATATCTAAAATTTAAGGTTTCAATATATAGAGATTTAGAATATTAGGATATTTAGGGCTAAGCATTTTTGAGTTTAAATACTACAAAGTTCACTCAATATTACTTGTTTCAAATTTGGTATCCTCTCTTGGTTAAGTCTCATGATATGCCAAATATCAATTTAAGCATATAATCCCCAAATGTAAACTTTTGAATTTGGATTTCTTAGGAAGTTAATTTACCGTATTGTATAAAGTTTTGCTTGTACTTATTAAAATGTACTAGACACATTAGCAATTTCATAAGTTGACAAAATTAATGTTAACTTATTGGATGAGTTATTACTATAGTATCATAAGTGAAAATAAATTTCCTATAAGCTTGCTATGGAAGGCAAATAAATTGGTTTATAATTGTTTAGTACGACACTAGTGGATCCTTACTATGTATGATTATAAGTGGATCGAGGTTCAAATGGTCATTATTGTATTCTTTCATAAAAAAAATTTAAATTAGATTAAAAACAGAAAATATAATGTTTAGTCAAGTTGAGTCCAAAAATAAAGTTATTAGGGATGAAATATCATCATTTTCTCTTCTTTAAAAGATAAGATGTGGTTTTAGAGAAACCAAGTGGTTTTATTGTTCCATAAATTACGTTTTAATCTAGATGCCACACAATCTTTTAAAGTTCAGGGTGGTAAAGGAACTTGGTTTGTCTAAATATCCTCTTTGGTTTTCAGAAGTTTATTGTGCATAAAACCATTAAGTTTTATAAAAGCTTGAGGTTCTTGAACTTTTATCACAAAATATAAAAATAAATACTCTTGAGATGTATCTATAATGAATTCCACTATATTCACCTTAACATCCCCTAACCCTTCACAAGAGAACAACTTTTTCTATAACATTCAGCTTTGTAAAAATTAAAACATTAACCCTCCACTTTATTGGTCCAAACAAAAGTTTTTAACTTTATTGTCATCTTCTGATACAATAATTGTTATTTCTTCCCTAAATGTAAAGCATTGGGTAATTGGTTATCATGTTGTTTACCTCATTAACCATCCTATTGACCATAGTTGACTGAGTTGGTTTAGTGATGGCATTAATCAATTTTGCTATAAAATCTTTTTTGACTTTTTGTTACACATCCACCAAACTCAAACCATTGATAAAACATTGCATCTTTAGCAAACATTTGTAAAATTAAAGTAATGATCACAAAACTTACGAAAATCCTTTGCATGATTTTTAATAACTAGTTCACAAAATCAACTTTTTCAAACTTCTTCACAAATGAAGCATAAAGAACCTTTGTTAAACCACTTAGAAATCCTTAATGAAATTACCAAATCTAAAATAAAAACCATAAAAATATTCTAAAAATATTCTAAAACTATTTCATGGTTTAGGGATTTAGGGCTTATTGATTTCATTGGAATTGGGACAAGGGGATGCTAATCCTAATGAAGCCATGATGAAGATGAAGAGACTGTTGATGATGTCATTATAAAACAAAAGCCAAATTAAAAGTTCAAAATGATATCAAGGAGGTGAATAAACTCAATGTATAACTTGACTTGGATGTAGAACTTGTAAAAACAAACATAACAAAAGAAACTAATCTATCTACAATCATCCATATTCCAAAACTAGAGCTAGGGCAAAAATTCAGTTTGCCTTATCTGTACTAAATTTCTCGCACTTCAATA